TCTGTAAGACATCTGTAAACTAGTTATCTGTAAGGGTAGCATGATCCAAAAGGTTTTTGTCAAATCTAATAATTATATTTCAACAACTTGCCTAAGAATCTTCTTTGCAATGAGGTTTTGCCACCCCCTTTTTTATTGTAATTAAGTCTTGAATCAAATTATTTTTTTCATTCTCATTTTTCTACTCATTTACAATCACACATTTTTCAATAAAATAATATTTTCCATCACATCGATAACATTTCTTTATTTTTCAATCACATATTCTCCATCGCATAAAAAAAATGTATTATTGAGTTGATAATGTGCACCAAAAAGGAGTGAAGTCTTGTATCATTCTCGCAAGAGATCTACACTTATTTTTCTAGTTTGTCAAGGATTCTAAAAATTTTACACACAAATCAATAAAATTTCCTTACTTTTAGGCCCTATTTGATAACTTACATTTTCCATGGAAAATGAAAAATGATTTCCATTTCCACCCATTTGACTTGTTATATTGGTATTTTTTTCTAGGCGAAATTTTTTCCTCTTTACCTCTCCACGCGCCTAAATTTTTGCCAATTGATGAAAAGCTTTCCCACCTTTTTCGTGGGAAAAAGCTTTTCCCGGTGCTGCTGCCCCTTTTTTTTGTAATAGAAACAAATTTCATAACTAGTAGTGAAAAAAATGACAATTTTCATGTAAAACAAAAATAAATACACTAAACTTTGATAAAAAAAAAAAAAAACGATTTTTTAGGAATTTTTTTTTTACTTTTTGGCAATGAGAACAAATTTTATAACGAATTGTGAAAAAAATCATCACTTTAATAGACAATTTCCAAATAAAACAAAGCTAAACGAATACGAAAAGATCCAAAATTCAAAAAATTTTCGGGTGGAAAATTATACCAATTATACACACTTAATTAACAATTCCCTACAAAACAATTTCTAGATAATTACTTTTCTTGAAATTAATTTTTTTCCACTCATTTTCCACCCATGCAACCAAACGGACCCTTAAACCACACATTCTTCATCAATCTACTATTCTATAATACGTTACAAGAATTAATGACTCTCAAACCGGGCCTAAAGAAATAATTAAAAGATAACAAGACTCAGCTCCCTTATTTAGTTGTAGGATCAATCTACTATTCTATAATACATTACAACAAAAATTTAATAACTCTCAAACGGGGCCTAAAGAAATAATTAAAAGAT